GCCTCGGCGCCCGCCGGCCCGGCTCCGCGACACTCCGAAGCGCCCGGCTCCGCCGCTCGGCCCACAGGACTGGCCTCCCCGCCCAGGCCTCGCCCCGGCGCCCTGCGCAGCTATTTCGGGCCTGACCCGTAAATAACACCCGCACCTGTCGCCTGGCGCCTGTTGCCATAGGGATTCCGGGTATTTTAAGGGAATGGCGGGGGAGGCCACCCCGGGAGGAGGGGCTGGGGGCCGGGTCCTCAAGAGGCCAGAACCTGAGGGGGCCTCCATTTCCTTCAGGGGCAAGGGCCAGGCGAGAGTCCCAATTCCTGGATCTTCCAGGACAGGGGCAAGGCAGCGCACACCAGACTGCTGGGTTGCTGGGAGGAGGGTGCTGTGGTCCTGGACTCTGGGGTCTGAGGGAGGAGGCTGCAGCTGGAGTCTTGAGTCTCTAAAGCAAAGGCCTCAGAAACTGAACTCCTGAGTAGTGGGGAAAGGGGTCTGGGGGCCCAGAATCTTGGCTCTCAGGCAAGAGAGACTTGAGTCTCCTGGGTCTTGATGAAGGAGGGGCATGGACCTCTGGGACTGAGGGAGGAGGGGCTGCAAGTCTGGACCCCTGGGTCTGAGGGAGGAGGGCCTGGGGCCTGGACTCCTGGGTCATGGGGAGGAGAGGCTAGGGCCAGAATCTTTAGTCTTGAAGGATGGAAGGACCCATTCCCATGCTGGGGTCCTCAGCCCCCAGGAGGTGGAGAGGGCAGGCCTCAGAGGCACAGAAACCAGAGCAGGCGTCCTCCTCATCGAGTTTATTAGACGGGGCGCCCCTGGGGGACCTTCCATGCAGCTTCAGCTCCCCCAGGGGCAGGGACGGGGGGGACAGCCGTGTGGCATGGCAGCAGGGCTCGGTCTTCAACCCCTCACCCCCTCCCTCAGCCCTTCTGCTGACGGCCCAGGTGGGACCCACCTTCCACCAACTCCTCCTTCTCCCATGGGTGGCCGGCCGCTCCAGGCAGGCCTGGCTCCCGGCCCAAGCAGGGTCCTGGGGCACCCCAAGCCTCTCTGTCCACCCCTGCTCCAGACTGTTCCCTAATACGCACGTTTCCCTGGGATGTGATTATCTGTGTCAGGCCTCCCACCAGACTGGGGCAGGAGCCGGGAACAGGAGGAATTCATCTCGGAGTCCTCACCGCTACCCAGCATGAGGCCAATTACACAGGCAGCCTTAGAAAATGTGCAGTGAATGAATGTATGAATGAATGAGCAAAGGAATGACCAGATGAAGTGAGATGATGACACACAGACATCCCCTCCCAAGTTAGGGCTGCCTTTCTCCAATGCCTGCATGTCCCCATCTGAGCACACCCCCTCTGTATCCTAACTGTCCATGCTACCCGTCCCCCCTCCAAAAACAGAGGCAGCTCTGAGGTCGCAGGCCTGGCATTGCAGTCCTCGAGAAAGATATCTGAGGGCCACACAGATGTTCTTTTCTGAAAATGGATGACGAGAGCCTTCTTTTCTCCTCGCTGGGTCTTTCCAGGTCTTGGCAGGATCCAGAGGGGGCCATCGCCATGTGTGCCCGGTGCTGGCAGCCACAAGAGACCAGAGCTGGGCACAGCAGCCCTGGCTAGGAGTCCAGCAGGGCCTTGTCTAAAGCATCGCCTGTTCCTGACCTGTGAATCCATCTTCCTCTCCTGGCCCTCAGCCTCCTCATCATTCTCAATTCTGCCTACAGTACATTTTTCTGTCTACCATCTCCCTGTCTACGCATTTTCCTCCCTTTTCTGTAACATTTTCACCAAAAAAAAAGTTGCCTGGATTCTCTTTTCCTCCCATCTTTCCCCCCAAATTATCTCTCTCCTCCATTCCACCATTGCACGGAAATGACCTCTTATCAAGATCATCGACCAGGCACGGTGGCTCACACTTGTCATCTCAGCAGTTTGGGAGGATCGCTTGAGCCCAGGAGTCTGAGATCAACCTGGGCAACACAGCAAGACCTTGTTTCTATAAAAATTCAAAAAATGAGGCAGGCATGGTGGTGCATGCCTGTAGTCCCAGCTACTTGGGAGGCTGAGGAGGAAGGATCCCTTGAGCCTAGGAGTTCAAGGCTGCAGTGAGCAGTGATAGCATTGCTGTACTCCAGCCTGGGGGACAGAGTGAGACCCTGACTCTTAGAATAAAAGAAAAAAAAGATCGTCAGCCTCAACCACGTCCATGTTATCAAACCTAATGGCCACTCTGCTCTCTGGATCTTTCTCTAGCTCTCAGCAGCACTTGGCTGCGTCCTCTTCTTGAAACACTGTTGTGCTCTGTCCTCCATGACCCTCCTGGTCTCAGTATCCTTCGGGAACACTCCATGTCACCTCCCTTGGCAACATCCTCTCGCCTCCCCCTGATGCGGGTGCCCCCAAGGTTCCAGGGTCACTTCTCAGTCCCAACTTACTTGCTAAGCCACCTCACCAGCCCTGTGGCTTTAACTGTCTCCTATATGCTGACGTTTCCAAAACTTACATTTCCAGCCGTGACCTCTCCCCCAAGCTGCAGCCTCATCATGTATCATCATCAACCAGCGACTTGATACCCTGACTTGGGTTTCTCACACGCACCTCCAACTTGACACACCCAAAAGAAAACCCTTGGTTCCTCCCATCCAAATCCTGTGACCTTATCCCAGTTCCCCCCAATCCTGGCAGCCACAAGCAGCAGCACCCACCCAAAATATGTGACCCCGATTCAAAGAGCTCCCCCCTCCTCTGTCCTGGGTGTCTCCTGCCCACCCCATGGCAAGCAAGTCACCACCACTGCAGGCTCTGCCTTCAAAAGTCGAGCCTGTCCTCAAGTTTCCTCCATCCCATGACCTCTGTCTTGGTCCAGGTCACCTGCAGCCCCAACTGGATGAGGACGACAGCCCCCAGCTCCTTCCATTCTTCATTCCTGAAGTTTATTCTCAGCACAACAATGGGATGCTATCATTGTTTTGTTTTAATAAAAATATGGCCAGGTGTGGTGACTCACGCCTGTCATCCCAGCACTTTGGGAGGTTGAGGTGAGAGGGGCACTTGATCCCAGCCTGGGCATCATAGCAAGACCCTCGTCTCTACAAAAAATTTTTTAAAAAATTCGCTAGGAGCTGGGCTCGGTGGCTCAGTCTGTAATCCCACGCTTTGGTAGGCTGAGGTGAGTGGATTGCCTGAGCCCACGGGTTCGAGACCCGCCTGGGCAACTTGGTGAGACCTCAACTCTACAATAAATCAAAAAATTAGCTGGGCATGGTAGCGCGCGCCTGTAGTTCCAGCTACTTGGAAGGCTGAGGCGGAAGGATCACCGGAGCCCAAGTCAAGGTTGCGGTGGCCGGGAGCATGCCACTGCACTCCAGTCTGGATGACAGACTGAGACTCCAACTCAAAAAAAAAAAAATTAGCTAGGCATGGCGGTGCGTGCCTGTAGTCCCAGCTACTCAGGAGGCTAAGGCTGTAGGATCACCCGAGTCCAGGAGGTCAAGGCTGTGGTAAACTCTGTTGCCACTGCACTCCAGCCTGGGCAATAGAGTGAGACCCTGCTTCTAAAAATAAAAATAGTAATGCGGTTCTGGCATGCCTGTGCTCAAAACCCTCCAAGGGCCCCCATTAGGTCGAGAATAAAATGTAGATTTCTTCCCAGAGCTACAAGTTCCCCAACCCCATCAGCCGCTCCTGACTCATGCCAACTCCTCACCCTGACTTGGTTCACTATGCAGGCCTTCTCCAAAACCTACTACTCCTCAGGGCTTTGAGGCTGCTTCTTGGAAGTGAAATACTTGTCCCCAGATCTTGTCACCTCCTTCTTCTCACAAGCCACATCTCTGTGACCTCTGCAACAAAGCATCTTATCTAAAGTTGCCCTTATTTTCCAGTCACAGTGGCTTACGCCTGTCATCTCAACACTTTGGGAGGCCGAGGTGGGAGGATTGCCTGAGCTCAAGGGTTTGAGACCTAGGCAACTTGGCGAGAACTCATCTCTACAATAAATAAAAAAATTAGCCGGGCATGGTGGCACGTGTCTGTCATTACAGTTACCTGGAAGGTTGAGGCAGAAGGATCACCTGAGCCCAGCAGGTTGAGGCTGCAGTAGCCATGATTGTGCCACTGCACTCCAGCCTGGGCAACACAGTGAGACCTCAACTCAAAAAAAAAAAAAAAAGTCACCTTGCTCCATCCTTCTGTTACCACACTCTGCTTAATCTTTAAAGCACTTTTCAGTGACCGAGAAGGTCTTGTTATTTATTGTCTCTCCTGCAAGTTTCAGGAGAGTGGACCCTTGTCCATCTGTTCACACTTATTGGGCCTAGTCTGGGTTTAGAATGAACTGGCACTCAATTATTTTTTGAAGGCTGAAAGAAACAAAATAAAACAAGCACTGAATCATCGCAGGACCCTATCCCTGCTGTAAGTCTCTGCATTCCTTTCTGTGCCTACCTCGGGATCTTTCTCTGGGGTCTACCTCTCTCTCTGTGTGTGTATCTCTGCGTTTTATCTACCCAGCTTTGCCATTTGTTTCCATTTTTTGTTTGTATCTCTGGGACTTCTGTCCTCTGATTCATGTGTCTTTTTGTCAGTCTCTTCTTTCTGTCCTCTCTGCACCCCTTTCCTGTGTCTGGAATTTTCTGTCTCTGGTACTCAACTAGTCTGGTTCTCTTCCACTCTTCCCTCCTGCCAGTCTCTCTTGCTCTATGTTTGGCATTTGGGCTCTGTCATACACTCTCCCATAACCAGTCCTGTCTCTCTCTCCAGCAAGGAACACCCCCTCCCACCCCCCCAATCTGGTCCTTTTAACTCTGCCCCTCCCTCCACTGAGTTCTCCGTCTCTCTCATCTGTATTCCTTTCTCTGCATTTCTAGCACCCACCCCTCCCTGAAACTGCCCTCAAAGAAGAACTGCCCCACCCCCAAGAACCCCTGACCTCCCATCTCTCCCCCTTCCTCATCCTCCCACATGGGTCCCAAAGGGAAATTTCAAATACTCAGGCCCCGTCTGGCCCCTCCGATGTTCCATGTTCTCAAGATAAAAGTTTGCAAAGCCCCTAGCAGCACAGCACCACTGCTACCCACCATCTTTTTTTTTTGTTTTGAGTCAGAGTCTCACTCTGTCACCCAGACTGGAGTGCAGTGGCCGCTCCCGGCCACCGCAGCCTCCGGCGATCCTTCCGCCTCAGCCTTCCAAGTAGCTGGAACTTCAGGCGCGCGCTACCACACCCGGCTAATTTTTTGATTTATTGTAGAGAGAGGTCTCGCCAAGTTGCCCAGGCGGGTCTCGAACCCGCGGGCTCAGGCAATCCACTCACCTCCGCCTCCCAAAGCACGGGATTACAGGCTGAACCACTGAGCCCGGCTGCTACCCACCATCTTCCTCACGCTGTCTGCGTCTGTCTTCCTGCCAGACTCGGAGCCCTTGAGGACAGGGCAGGATCAAAATCCGGTCTACACTCCCAGGATCACCCAGCACGGGGCCTGGCTCGTGGCAGTCCTTGAAAGTGTTTGCTGAGTAAATAAAGGGAAACCCGCTGAGCGCTGTCCCTTCTGTCTTCTCAGTGGCCTTCGAATCCCCCCCCCACCCCTAGGATAAAGTCTGAACCCCTTGGCCCAGAAACTGGCACCTTTAGATGCTGACTTGTAGCTGTTTGCCCGGCCTCCCCTCCATCCCACCCTGCATGGGAGCCCAAGTTGTTCCTCATCACCTGACAGCTACCTACTGATCCTCCTAAGACCCAGACTGAGCATCATATTGTCCAGGAAGCCTTCCCAAGGATTGCCCCAGGCAGTGCTGTATTTTCTGGGTACCACGGTGCCCATTGTGGACCCTGCTCCATCCCTTGGGGGCCATAGTTCCTGCAGAGGTCCCTGCTCCATCCTCTGGGGGCCATGGCACCCACAGTGGTCCCTGCTCCATCCTCTGGGGGCCATGGCACCCATGGTGATCCCCGCTCTGTCCTCTGGGGGCCACGGCACCCATGGTGGTCCCTGCTGTGTCCCTGGGTGCCACAGCACTCACAGTGATCCCTGCTCCATCCTCTGGGTGCCATGGTACCCACTGTCATCCCTGTTGTTCCCTGGGGGCCACGGCACCCACAGTGATCCCTGCCCTGCCCCTGGGTACCACAGCAGCCCCAGTGGTTCCTACTCCATCCTCTGGGTGCCACAGCACCCCCGGTGGTCTCTGCTCCATCCACTGGGTGCCACGGTGCCCACTGTGGCCCCTGTCCCAGCACTGACCACCTAGCCTGAACTGTGGTTTCTAATGACTATCAAACTCCTTAAGAACAAGGATAGGGTATATTTCACCCCTTGGGGATCTGGATCCCAACACATCACCTGGTATGTTAGCAGATGCTGGAAAATGTCCCTGGGTGAATGGCTGAATGTACAAATGAGTGAATGAATGAATGAATCCTACAACCCAAGCCTCCTCCTGCACACCAGACGCCATACCTGGGCTTCAGTATTTGTGTGGCTCCCCACTTCCTCCCATGACAGTGTGAGTTTCAAGGGCCAGTGCCTGTGACCGATGCTGTCTCCGTGCATCTCTGCTTCTTACTCTTTCTTGTCTCCAAGTTCCTATCTTCCTTCATGTTACGCTCCTGCTTAAACCCATTCAATGACCCCTGCACCTCCTTAGAATAAAACCTGAACTCCGGACCTAACGTGCAAATACCTACATAATCTGGCCCTGTCTCCAGCCTCATCCTGTTGCATTCTCACTTCAGCTCTCTGTGGAAGCTCCTTCCTGCCCCAGGGCCTTTGCACATGCCTTTGCACATGCCGCTGCATGCTTTCCCTCCAGTACACCTGGCTGGCTCCTTGTCATCTTTTCAGCATCAGCTAAAATCTCTTCCTCTAAACTGGGTTAAGAGCTCCCCCCGTGGAGCATTTAAGAGCATCTCGGGTTTCTCCTATAGCCTAATTAATTGTGTATGTACGTGATTCTTTGATTAATGACGGTCTCATGCACAAGGTGTGAACGCTATGAGGACGTGGGGAACCCCGCCTGGCTTTCTTCCTTCTGTGCCCTTAGCATTCAGCTCAACGCCTCCCACTTAGGCGCACACTTATACTGCCAGTCGTGAATGAATGAGTGTTGGCGTCCCTTCTCCGGGGCCTTCTTATATACCAGCACCCGGTACACAGCAGGTGCCTAACAAACGCTTGTGGACGAATGGATGAAAATGAATGAATGCATGCCCGCGTGCCTTCTCTCCATCCCTCCGCCTCTTCCACAGAGCATCCATACGGTTTGTAGGTGAAACTACACCCTCGTGTGTCACGGGCCCCTCCCTCTCCAGGAG